GAGCATGATGCCGCTGCGCACTTTCATATCTATTCATGCAGTTTAACGTCACACTATAGTATTTTTGCAAGGTGGTGGGGATGGAGATGGAGAGTTATTTTGATCGTGTGTTCTTTGCGTAATGGATGTGGAGAACTGTTCAATAACGTTTAAATAGTCAGATTATTTCCTTGTGGTTTGTGTAAAAGGATTTTGGAGCTAATAGAGTCGCGTGTGACATAAACGTAGATGGTGCAGTGACTCAGGGTTCATGCCAGCTGAACAAATCTATTGCATTGTTATAGCGTTATTGTGAAGTTTAATTAATAGCGCATATATTCATCTGAGAACTGATGATGTCTGTGTGTTACAGACCCTGGCTGTGTGCACTGAAGTGTATATGACAATAAAGTAGTGAATCTCAATCTATTTATTTATTTTTAAAATGTATTTTAAATAGGCCTATAGGCTCATAGGTTTTTTGTCCAAAAATACCAAACAAGTTTTTCACAGCACCCCCTGTTCAAAATGACTTCCAGCGGCCCTGAGGTACAAATTAGAGTTAGATTAGAGTAGCAAAATTCAACTGCTCTTAACTCATCCTATAGAATAACATTCATCAGTCATCAGCTCATCATCTGTGTCACCTGTATTGTTACCTGTGTTTGCTTTACTAATTGAGGCGCCATCTTGTGGTTACATAAAAACACAGCAATCCAGGCAACAGAACAGAAAAACTAAAGGCGTCACCTAAACAACAATTCAGTTCAATGTCACCAATTCATAACAGAAGTAACTACTGCACTCAGGTTCAACTCAAGGAGTGAGTAAATGTAAATAATAATAATGTAAAAAGGTAAACACAATTTCACAATCAACAAAAAGTAGAATCACAGTTCAGATTCATTCCAATATATAAAAGAAATAAAAGAACTGAAAGTGAAAGTGTTTCTTTACAGCTTATTGCTGTCTGATATCAATGTTGGTCAAAGTCCAGTCCAAAAGCTTAGTGTGTATCCATGTCCGTCCAAGTGTATTCAATGTGTATGTGCTACCCGGGTAGAATGTGTGTGTTTGTTTGTACGCTTGCTCAGATCTTATCTTCAGGAAGATGATGAAGATGGAGAATTCCAGATACTCTCTAACCCTGCCTCGCATCCCACAGGAAACCCAGAATGTAGATCCAGCAACTCAAAAAACCAATTATCTCTCATCAATTACTGTACAGTATCATATCTCTCTTTAACTCAAGTGTAACTTATAACAAAAGCAATGATGAACTATATCCTGAGACCTTAAAAGCTTAGACATCATTGTGTTTTGTTTCCTTTTTTACCCGTATTAATAAATCATGTTACACAACTTATCTCTTATCTCTAATCAATCATGTCTCTCATTCATATTCACCCTTATGTATTTTTAATCATCTCAACATGAACTGAAACACATTATTTATTCTCATGGACTGTTGCTAACTAGCATTAGCTTCATGTGGACTGTTGCTAACTAGCATTAGCTTCTTATGGACTGTTGCTAACTAGCATTAGCTTCGTGTGGACTGTTGCTAACTAGCATTAGCTTCATGTGGACTGTTGCTAACTAGCATTAGCTTCGTATGGACTGTTGCTAACTAGCATTAGCTTCTTATGGACTGTTGCTAACTAGCATTAGCTTCGTATGGACTGTTGCTAACTAGCATTAGCTTCTCATGGACTGTTGCTAACTAGCATTAGCTTCTCATGGACTGTTGCTAACTAGCATTAGCTTCTCATGGACTGTTGCTAACTAGCATTAGCTTCTCATGGACTGTTGCTAACTAACATTAGCTTCGTGTGGACTGTTGCTAACTAGCATTAGCTTCGTGTGGACTGTTGCTAACTAACATTAGCTTCGTGTGGACTGTTGCTAACTAGCATTAGCTTCGTGTGGACTGTTGCTAACTAGCATTAGCTTCTCATGGACTGTTGCTAACTAGCATTAGCTTCTCATGGACTGTTGCTAACTAACATTAGCTTCGTGTGGACTGTTGCTAACTAGCATTAGCTTTGTATGGACTGTTGCTAACTAGCATTAGCTTCTTATGGACTGTATGCTAACTAGCATTAGCAGATTAGAAATATTATATTTAGTCGGCTCTTACCAATTCACCTCCCATGTTAAACTGTTTAAAGGTAATCAATGTAAACATTCTGTTCCAAATATAATACTGATAATAATAATAGATCATCAATAAGTGAACATAATGAGCTGTAGCCATCGGCCAATAAGAAGAAGCTCCACTGAACTGAAAGACTATCAGCTGATTAATAATAAGTGCTCCATGTGAAGATGTAAGTCCATTTGTAGAGAATAAGCTCTGTGTATGAGAGCGATGTAATGTCCATGTTTCCATGCTGCTCTGACCCCCCTCCTCCTTTCAGGGTGGAGCCTGCTGGAGTCCGATGGTTGAGACCAGGTCTGAGGAAGTGTAAGTGTGAAAACAAAGCAGCACACATTCAACCATCTTCACACTGTGACATCACTCATTCACAGCTCTGATGTCATCATCAAAGTGTCAATCAATGATCAGATGATAGATCAATAACTGCAGCTGTATTGTGTCTTGTTCTCTCCATCAGATTCCTGTGAACTCACAGTCGACACAAACACAGTGAGCAGAAACATCAAACTGTCTGACAACAACAGGAAGATGATTTATGTGGAGGAGGATCAGTCATATCCTGATCATCCAGACAGATTTGACTTCTGGGATCAGCTGCTGTGTAGAAATGGTCTGACTGGTCGCTGTTACTGGGAGGTCGAGTGGAGAGGAGGAGTTTATATATCAGTGAGTTACAGAGGAATCAGCAGGAGAGGAAACAGTAGAGACTGTGTGTTTGGATGGAATGATCAGTCCTGGAGTCTGTGCTGCTCTGGTGGTGAATACTGTTTCTGGCACAATAACAGAAAAACACCAATCTCCTCCTCCTCCTCCTCCTCCTCCTCCTCCTCCTCCTCCTCCTCCTCCTCCTCCTCCTCCTCCTCCTCCTCCTCCTCCTCCCGTAGAGTAGCAGTGTATGTGGACTGTCCTGCTGGCACTCTGTCCTTCTACACAGTCTCCTCTGACACACTGATCCACCTCCACACCTTCAACACCACATTCACTGAACCTCTTTATCCTGGGTTCGGGTTGTTCTGGTCCAGGTCTGGTTCCTCAGTGTCTCTGTGTCCTCTGTAGGAGGGAGAGAGAAACTTTCTCACTGCTGACCAGATAGTTCAGTCTGTACAGGATCACACACAGCTGATGTTAGTTAGTACCAACCTGATGTGTTTACTGTAATAGAGGAGGAAGAGGAGGCTGAAGGAAGAGAGGAGCAAAGGATGCTGGGATGAAGGGATCATGTGTGAGGGTAATGTGCAGCCTGCAGACGTAGAGATGAAGAAATGATAGAAAGAATTGATCTTCTTCTATAACTCTGAGAAAAATGAACATTTTTAGGATCAAATGTGGCTGCTTGTTTTTCAAATCTTCTTCTTTTTGAAAGCACAGTTAGAGGGAAAGTGTTTTTATGACTCAAATATTAAAGTGTGAACAAATATTCAACTTTGAGTCTAAAACTGAACTTTGTTGCCTTAAAACTTTTGTTTCTGTGAAGAAAAAATGTGTTCAAATGTCAAACAAGAGTCTTTCAGGATCAAATTCAGCATCTGTGTAAAAATAGTTCCAAGGTGTAAAGAGTGGCTTTGATTTGAACTAAATTCATCATCTTTGGTCATCGTGGAACAAATGTACAGACTTTGATAAGTCAGGTTGAAATCAAAAGAAATCAAAGTTTTGGGATGATTCTAGATAATAAATGATGCTGGAAACCACATCTAAATGATGTCAAAGCAAAACTGTCCAAATGGATCCAACACTGTATAAAATGAAGGATTAGTTAAATCCAGCTTCATTCTCCACTTTGTATTGTTCACTCATACTTCCATACATCACTGACTGTGTGCTCGTTTGGGGAAACTCATATAAAACAAACACTAATCAGATTTTTACATTTGAACAGAGAGACATAAGAAGAGTAAACCAAACTACTGATCAAGAACCAACTCAGCTGTTTGTTCAATGAACAGAACAGATCAGGTATAAAGTCAGAAACTAATGACGAGCTGAAAGAGTCCAAAAGTAGTTTGAAATGACAGAAAGTTGAAATGATTTGAGAGGAATCTGCAGCTTTAAGGACTGATGTCAGAGGTGAACTTGTGGAGCAGCTGTAGTGAGGAAATCAATTATTCCATAAAGAATCATTCAACAAATATAAAAGTGATCAAACTGACATGTTGGCATTAATTCAATTCAACTCTATTTGTATGGCGCCAATTCAGTTTTGGAGCACGGGAAAGCCTCCAAAAATGTGTTTGTTTGGCAGGAAAAATAATTTCTTCAATTACAATAGTGCCATCACACGGTCAGTGCTCGGGCCCTAACTACTGAAGGTTTGTTTCACCAACTTCCGCCCCTCGCTATGATTGACAGGAGGTTTCGGGGGTGCTTTTGGCGAGCAGGGAGAGGTGTACGTGACACAGAGAGAGAGAGACGACCTCCGAGCCTCAATGTGGAACTTGAAGTAGACGCTCTGTGTAATAACTTTGAGCTTTTTCATGCTCAGATGCAGACCAGAGCACCACATGAGAGATGAGCAAGTTTGATAAAGTTGTTAAAATTACAATTTCATATAATATGAGATATGCTGAAGTGAATTATAACGACAATTATAGTATAGAAAAAGGAAAATGTAAGTAGTATACATCTATAAAATATAAATAAATAGAGATCCTCAGTAAGTTCAGTGTGATTAATCTGATGATTAATAAACAAACAAAACAAACAAACAAATAAAGTGAAATGCATACTATGTATTCAGCACTCTAATAGATGGATGTGGTAAACATCCATGCAGAGAAACATCCAAACTCTTCCACACTGGGACAAATTCAAACTTATGTCAAGCTTTTATTTTGTAACCAGTTCCGGTGTGCTAACGTGCTAACGCTGTAGCTTGACGCAGCTGGCTAACAACTTCCGGGGTGAACTCGTACATGTTGTGGTGACAGCATCGAACAGTGGCCGCACAGCTGACTGTGTTTCTTTATGTTCCTCAGTAACTTCCCTTCCAGACGATATAAACTGCCTCTCTTTCTGTGGGAACTCCATTAAAATGGTGTTTTACTTCACGAGTGCCGGTGAGTGAAGCTAGGCTAGCAGCTAGCGGCTAGCAGCTAGCCTGGTTAGCCTGTACTTTTTATTTAAGGCTGCTGGTTTTTAATTTAATGTTTAATCTCTGTGTTCTCTGTGTTCTCTGTGTTCTCTGTGTTCTCTGTGTTCTCTCTCAGTGGTGAACCCTCCGTACACGATCTACATGGGGAAGGACAAATATGAGAGTGAGTGGATCGTTAAATCTCTGACTGTAAACTCTGTCTGTCTGTCTGTCTGTCTGTCTGTCTGTGTGTGTGTGTGTGTGTCTGTCTGTCTGTGGGTCTGTCTGTGTGTCTGTCTGTCTGTCTGTGGGTCTGTGGGTCTGTCTGTCTGTCTGTGGGACTGTGTCTGTCTGTCTGTCTGTGGGACTGTGTCTGTCTGTCTGTGTGTCTGTCTGTCTGTGGGACTGTGTCTGTCTGTGTGTGTGTCTGTGGGTCTGTCTATCTGTCTGTGGGTCTGTCTGTCTGTCTGTGGGTCTGTCTGTGTCTGTGTGTCTGTCTGTCTGTCTGTGGGACTGTGTCTGTCTGTCTGTCTGTGGGACTGTGTCTGTCTGTCTGTGTGTCTGTCTGTCTGTGGGACTGTGTCTGTCTGTCTGTCTGTGGGACTGTGTCTGTCTGTCTGTCTGTGGGTCTGTCTTTGTGTCTGTGTCTGTGTGTCTGTCTGTCTGTCTGTGGGACTGTCTGTCTGTCTGTCTGTCTGTGTGTCTGTCTGTCTGTGTGTCCGTCTGTGTCTGTCTGTGTCTGTGGGACTGTGTCTGTCTGTCTGTCTGTCTGTCTGTGTGTGGGACTGTCTGTCTGTGTCTGTGTGTCTGTCTGTCTGTGTCTGTCTGTCTGTCTGTCAGTAATGAAGCCTCTCTCTCTCCCTCTGTCTCTCTCTCTCTCTCTCTCTCTCCCTCTCTCTCTCTGTCTCTCTGTCTCTCTGTCTCTCTCTCTCTCTCTCTCTCTGTCTCTCTCTCTCTCTGTCTCTCTCTCTGTGGTTGTTCTGCAGATGAGGATTTGATAAAGTACGGATGGCCTGAAGACATCTGGTGAGAGCTCAATAACTCTTCTTTAAGTGTCACAAATAAATCATCTGTGAGCACAGTATTAGTTGTTTGTTTGTTTGTTTGTTTATTGTTTATGTAGCAGAGGTCAGTAGTGGCAGGTTGTAGAGATTAAAGATCAGTTGAACACAAACAACAGAAACCCAGAATAACAATCACTCCCACACAAACAACAACAATCCCCTGACTCAGACTCCAGTCACAGATTAGTTAATAAAAGACTTTAAATGTTTTAACAACAACACGAGATTAACAAACAAACAAATCAGTTCATTTCCTTGTTGTGACTCGGTCTCTCCTCTGGTTCACGCCGTCTTGTTTGTTTCCTGTCCAGGTTTCACGTGGACAAACTGTCTTCGGCTCACGTTTACCTGAGACTGCCAAAGGTAAGGAGTCACTGAACCCTAAACGCCGAGACTCACGCTCACATCAACACATGAACAAAAGCTGAAGTTTGATGATGTTGTGAAGTAGCGTGGGATCATGGGAGATGTTGTCTTCACTGTTTAACACCGTTCCTGTAAAATCTCTTCCTTCGTCACTCTCTTACGGTCCCGTGTTCCCTCTGAGGTTAAAGCAACTAGACGGGCGACCAATGAAACACACTGTATCCTGAATAAAGTCCACAACTCAACAAACTGTATCATGTTAGACTTTAATCCAATCCAATCCAACTTTATTTGTTAAGCACTTTAAAAACAACCAAAGTTGACCAAAGTGCTGTACAGGAGAATAAATAGGACATCATAAATGTAAACAGTGATGGTGATGATGAAGACCACTGTGAAGAATACAGACAGTGATGGTGATAACACTGGAAAGTTCCCGTGGCAGACAACACGGACGAAGTCCGACGGCGATGAGCTCGATGTCCGGGCTGCAGACGCTCTTTCACACAGAGTACCCGGCGTTACACCAGCTGTTGTTTATGAGCACGGACAGTCCCCCCTCCTTTCTTCATGCCGGTCGCGGTGGTGTCCCTGTCGGCTCGAACCGTCTGGAAGCCGGGAATGGTGACGTTGGAGTCCGGTATCTGCTCGATGATTGCAGGGATGTAGAGTTTAAAGCTCCTCTTCTTCATCCTCCGTTTAACCCCCGCTCTGCAGCCTCACCGTCTCCTCCTCAGCTCCTCCGGTATGGAGGGTCTCTCTCCGGTCAGGATGCTCGGGTACCTCAGGGCGATCATCTGGTCGCGGGTGAAAACAATGCGACTCCCCGTCGCCATGGAGACCAGTGTAAACAAAAAATAAAAAGTGCTCAAAAACGCCAAAAAAGTATTTAGGCGACGTGAACAAAGTAGTAAGAAAGTAAGAAAAGAGTTCAAAATAGCAGAAACACACTGAAAACACACTAAAACTGCAACAATGAAAGGAGCTGCCATGACAGGCTGCCGTTGTCGCCGGCGCCATTCCATGGAATGGAATTTAATGTAGAAAGGCTCGTACCACACTGTGCTTTAAACGCATTACTTTATACAAAAGTGTTTCTACCTGTTCCTTAAAATGGTTCTTGGTGTTTGACGTGTTTGTACACATAAAAAAGTGACGGAGGTCGTTTGTAAAGAAAGAATTGCTGCATAAAGAGGGTTCGATTGTCAGATTGTTGAAGAAATAATCAGATCAGAACTCCACCAACCGCGTAGTTTATGATGCCTTTGGCACCATAAGCTCCGCTGATCCTCGCTCTGTGTGTCTCTGTTTTCTAGGGTCAGACGATACACGACATCCCCCCGGAGGTTCTGATCGACTGTGTGCAGCTGGTGAAAAACAACAGCATCCAAGGTAAAGATCTGCCTTCTGATAGAGTCAGGATTCAGAAGGAGCCTTTTGTTGCCTTTATTATCCAGATCTTCTGTATTTAAAGAAAAAGAAACTGTGTGTTTACGCCGTCAGGCTGCAAGATGAACAACATCAACGTCGTTTACACGCCGTGGGCCAACCTGAAGAAAACCGGAGACATGGACGTAGGACAGATCGGCTTCTACCGACAGAAAGAGGTCCGTATGAACGACACGGAAATGACACGACGACGTTAAACAAACGACCGGTTCGGGGGTTTGATGCCGATGTGTTTCACAGGTGAAGATCGTGGCGGTGGAGAAGAAGGTCAACGAGATCGTGAACCGGCTGGAGAAAACGAAAGTGGAACGCCTCCCCGACCTGGCGGCGGAGAAAGAGTCGAGAGACAGGGAGGAGAGGAACGAGAAGAAAGCGCTGCTCCAGGATCAGAAGAAGAAAGAGAAGGATGAGCAGAGGAGAAAAAAGGAGATGGAGGAACTCCGGTAGGTCTTAGTGGAGTACTGTGACGTTGTTTTAATAAAGCTGGATAGTCTTTTAATTCTTCACTAAAACATCTAAGATCTGCTGTTTAATATTCACATTCTTACCAAATCAGCAGTTACACTTTAAAGTAACATCCACCTCACATCATGGAAGGACACTGTGTGCCAATCCTGAACCTTCTGCTACTAAAGCCAGTCATTTCAAACTGTACTTCAATACTTAATATACTATAAACTATATATATGTACTGTATTAAATCTCTGTATATTGTCTCTCCAGGAACTACTCGTCACTGATGAAGAGTGAGAACATGCAGACTAATGAGGTGAGGACAGATCTGTGTGTTACTCAGATTAACTGAATGTCAAGTGTTTGATTCTCCGCATTAACGTCGCTGCGTGTCGTTGGCAGGACGGTAACGATTCAGACGACTTCATGTGAGCGAGGCGACCGACGGGCGGCGAGCAGAACCGGGATCCTTCGTGCTCGCTGCCCGGCTGCAGCTCTGCACTGACATTGAGGGGGAAACCAATGGATACCTTTTTTTTATTTGTTTGTTTTATTTTTGCTTTTGGGACACTTGGGAGCAGAAAGCGACGCCAGACAGCGACAGCGTCAGGACTTTATAATCCACGTGCTGATTGGTTCGAGACTCTGCTCCCAAACCGAGCTGGCTGGCCTCGTCACCACGGGGACGCCGTAGAGCGGGACAACGGGAACGCCGAGGAGTCATTCTGGAGGAAAAACACTCAAATAAAACAGAACTGTGTTTGTTTGGGTTGATGGTGTCGACGGATGTTGGTGTACGATTGCGTGTTTTAATCACCCCGGAAGACCTTCTGCTCACGTTCTTCATGTTGTCATTTCTCTGCATGTCCGATTTTATTGATTCAAAGTATTAATTAAAGCTACTCATGTTGACGAGCCCTTATATTCTCTTCATAAATCCTTCCGCGGTGAACCAGGGGCGGATCCAGGTAGGGAGCGCTAGACGAGGCCTGGCCACCACAGTTTAGTGTCAAATATAACAGATTAATTCAGATTAATTTTAAATATAACTTGTTAAATAATGGGAATACATTTTATAATAGGCTTAAATTCAATGTAATGCAGTGGTTCCCAAACTTTTTCCTTAATATACCCCTTTTCTGTCATTTATTAAACTGACTCAATGCCATATTTTATGTATTTTTCATATTATATTAAAACTGTACAATGAACCTGAACACTGAACTCAGTAACTGCAGGAAGTTTGTCTAAAACCAGAGATTTGGAGGAATTTGGAGCAGGTTGTTTCCTGTTTAGGGAAGTTTTTATACAAGTTTCAGGCTGTATGATTGTTATAATACATAGTACATAATAGGCTACCTTTTTTGGACACATTCAGTGTTTTGGGCTGAGCCTCTGTTCTATGGTGGAGAAATAATAGGTTTGGAGGATGATGTAATAGTAAACTCAGATAACTACACACAAAATAGACGTTGAATTAACAGTGTTGTGAGTCGGTCTTGAATTCGGCGTGTATCTGATCCGCCAACCAGCTCTTATATCTGTGAGAAATCTTAACTTCAGTAACTGTCGGTCCCTCATTCCCACTCTCTCCCCTCCACTCCCACAGCGCAGCTACAACAGAGGCTGAGTGAGCTGAAGCGACAAAATGTAAAGTTTGTACACAATACAGTTTATCTTTATCGATTATATTGCTGCCGAATTGACAAGAAGACTGTCGACACGTGACCTCCTTTAGCTCGTGTTTCTAGAGTTAAGTGTTTTTACGGACCAGTAGGAATTGTTAAAATGGGATATTTCTTAAAGGGAGTTTGGTGCTGGGAGCTTTTAGTTGAATTCAAACAGGATAACGCTAAACAGGAATTAATGGACACCTAGCAGCCAGTCAGAATCGATCTTTCACCCAGACTACGGTTCTTTAAGAGACTACCCACCCACTACTTTACTAACTTTACTTAATTAATCTGATTACATTCTACAGAAGTTGCCTTGGTTATATGTTAATGCAACCCTTTTGGGAATAGATTCACATAACTACATACATTAATAATAATAATAGCACTAGCACATTGTATTTCCATGAACAGCATGTAATCTTTGAGATAAAGATAAAGTAAAAGGGTTTGGAGGATGCGGGCATCGATCCCGCTACCTCTCGCATGCTAAGCGAGCGCTCTACCATCTGAGCTAATCCCCCACGATGCCCTGAAAAATGTGACGTCACTATAAATTGTAAACTGTAAATCTGAAATTAAAAACATCTACGTTTAGCTTTTAACACCGTCATTTCTTTCTTTTAACACAACCTTCGGGCATTACTCTTTATCCCTGTTCCAGGCGTTCACTCTGACTGTGCAGCTAATTAGCATTCATTAAATTCCTTATTAAAATACGACTCACCAGAGAAGATCTTTACAGCAACTCGTGAGTATAACTTCATTATTGTTTGTTTTGTAGTCGAAATTTAAAAAAAAAGAGTTTGGAGGATGCGGGAATCGATCCCGCTACCTCTCGCTTTGCGGCTTCCTGCATCTTGTCAATTTCACCAAAGTAAGCCCAAATGAGCCAATCACGTTTCTCCCTGTGGGCTTACTTTTGACCAATCACGTTTCTCCCCTGTGTCTCACTCTTCGGCGGTCGGTACAGTCTCATCAATGTCAGCTATCAGGTACTGCGCAGTCGCATTGGTGTTTTCATGCTCTTCATCCATTCATCAATCTTAAGGTCAGATATGCTTTTTAGACGTGATGTGGTATTATCGGACACATTTCCTCTTCATCCCTAGGTGTTGTCATTGCTATAGCTTGCAAACAGTAATGTTAATGTTCGATAGCATTAACAGCCAGTAGGTGCTGTCGCTCAGTCCATTCATGTGAATAATGACGGATCAGACACAAATGCAGAATATTTCTTTAATGAGAAATGTTTGTATTTTATTTCTGTTTGTGCAGTTTTACAACCAAAAACGAGTCTCAGTCTCCTGTACTGCTGGAAACTTCAGTAAAAGGAACAGCTGCCTGGTGCACTAATGTGGGAAACGAGCAGTTTTCAGTCCTGACAGCCGGTGAGGGACAAACACTGGACGCTATGGCTGCTGGCCTGATGAAGCGGTACAGGGAGGCAGGAGAGGTGGCACCCAAAATCTTGTACGTGGACAGAGACTGCTGCAGTCAGCATGGACCTGGTCGGGTGAAGGCCATGTTTGCAGAGTGGGACGGGCTTCAAGTGCGCCTCCATATGACATTTCATGCGTCGGTTTGCCGTAGGCGTCACAACAGAGGCTCACCCTCTGTACGGCATTTTCATGGCCCGCCTGTCCACGTGCATTTTTGAGTGGGATCCGGAGGATGTTGCTGCTCTTCGCCGTGCCAAGGAGGGTGAGCTGGCAGCAAGGAGGATTGGCCACATCTCCGAGGAGGCGGTGACCACTCGCATCACCCGGAGGGAGTTGGCGCTGCACTGCAGGAGGAAGACCAGAGGGGTGGAGGAGACCATCAGGCTGATTGGGTCATTGATCGGTCTGTTTGACAGTGCAAGTGGGAAGGACACTCTGGGAGTTCCTCTGCTGGACCACGAACGCATCCAGCAGATATGGCAGGAGCAGGAGAAACACGTGGGCTGTATCCAAGACCCAGAGGACTTCCTGCTCTACATTAAGACAGGCACCCTGAAGAAAGGAGGTGTGGAGCTGTGCTGCTACAGGTGTGCCCGTGGCTCTACCTCCCTGGAGTCCTTCCACCTCCACTTAAACAGATTTATTCCAGGTATTGCATACATATGGGTTACTAGTAGGGCTGGGTATCGTGGCCAGTTTCCTAAATCTCTTCGATTTCGGTTCAATTCAATCTGCTCTTGAATAATGAAAATGGCTCAACTGTGTTACAAAATACAATTATACTAAAATACTTTATTTCTTCTCTTCACCTTAAACAACAGGTTTAAGTGCAAACTTGTAAATTGGACAGTTTAAACTTGAGCTGTAAACAAAACTGTCTCAAGTCTCAAAAGTGAAATTTCCATCACTGCAAACTGCATTAAGGCATTGTTTATTAAAGTGCAACAATAATAATAATGGTAACAAAACTAAAAGTAAACTTAAACTGTCTAAAGTCCTGTTATTGTGACTTTGTTCTCACTCATTGTGAGATTCTTGTGCAGGAAAAGGAGCTCATTGATATGATTTGGGGTTAGGCAGCTCCTTTTTGCAGTGACAGTATCACCCGCAGTTGAAAACACCCGCTCTGACGCAACACTGGTCCCTGGGACACAAAGGTATATCTTCGTAAGGTGAGCCAACAGTGGATGCTCCCTTTCATTTGACCTCCACCAGCTCAGAGGACTTTCATTCAGCCCAGCAGGATTTTCCGCCCTGTGTCTTCTGATTTCATCTTCAGCCCTCATTGCTGGAGTTTTCGGTCCATGTTCCTTTACTGTTGGTGAGTAAACTGCCCCAAGGAGAGACTCCAAGGTGCTGGATTTCTTGGGCTTCTTGGGTGAAGTCGCTTCCCCATCTCCTCAGCTCCTTCATCAGCATCATTACCATCAGTATTTTGCTGTTGAATAAGACAGGGGGAAAAAAAACAGAAATAAATAAATAGATTGAAAATCATTAATGAACTCTTTTAAATGATATAATATTCCTTATAATCCAATAGAGACTTTTAATTCTCAATGAAAACATTATTATTAAATTGAACAGTTTCATCACGTGCAGCAGTGGCAGCGTCGGTCTGCAGTCTGGAGAAGGTGTCACCTCGCTCTTTAGCAGACAGGGATGGTAGGGCCTTACAGCGAGGATCCAGCGCTGATGCTGCACACAATGTGTCCTGATGCACATCATATCTTAAAGACATTTCACAATTTATTTTTGTTATCACAGTATGAGTGTAAACATGGCATGCATACAAATATACAATCTCACACAGTAAAATGAGAAGAAAATGCTCATATAAAATAATAAACTTTGCTTTTGTAATGTTTTGATTTGGCCTTCCACTGACCTTGTCCTCAAGTTATTCTTTACAGCAGTCTTCAAGTCCCTCGCCACGGTGCAGTCTTCGAGGCTGGGGGTCAAGGCCTCCAGCAGCAGGGCGAGAAGTGGGGGGGGGGGGTTTTAGACCTGCTCGTGAGAACCTCGTGGTCTGTAGCACATGAGACACGAGGCACCACTCGTTGTCGATGTAGTGAGAAGTCACTGTCGAGTACGATGTCCAGGTGTCACAAGTTATGCCGACTGCATTTTGGTCAGGATGTGGTCTTTCACACATGTATACATCATAACAGCTTCAGTCACGTGTTTACGTTACTGCGCTCAATGCAAACCAGCCGCACGTAAATTTCAACTGTGCACGTATTCTCAGCATTACGGTAAAGGCGGACAAACAGCGTATTCTTTTCCGGTTTTCAAAATAAAGGTATTATGAACATTAAGCTATGAGTCGAACCTACATTTAAAATAAAATATGTTGCATTAAAGTTTTCCATGCGCCCATGATGAATAAAAACACCTCATATCGAGTATCTTTACGGCGCCAGTGTGGAGAAATGTCAAAATAAAAGTCCTGTATTTATGCCTCCAGAGATTGCATATTTGACCATATTTGAAGTACTGTAAAAATATATTGCTCAATAATTCCTAACTATGGATGATATATTTGACTTCTACACGTCTAAGACTACAGTCACACTCAACATCAAGCATTTTTACTGCAGCAATTTGGAGAAACTTAAGAACAAAAGTCCATATTAGAGCAATAATATTTTATAGTAGCTCAAATATGAGAAAATATGCCACTTGGAGGTACACATATGGACTTTTGTTCTTAAATTTCTCCAAATTGCTGCAGTAAAAATGCTTTATATTGAGTTTACTTGTAGTCTTAGACGTGTAGAAGTCAAATATATCATCCATAGTTAGGAATTATTGAGCAAAGTGTTTTTACAGTACCTCAAATATGGTCAAATATGCAATCTCTGGAGGCATAAATACGGGACTTTTGATATTAGGTGTTTTTTATTCATCATGGGGGCATGGAAAACTTTAATGCAACATATTTTATTTTAAATGTAGGTTCGACTCATAGCTTTAATGTTCTAAATACCTTTATTTTGAAAACCGGAATTGAATACGCTGTTTGTCCGCCTTTACCGTAATGCTGAGAATACTCGCACAGTTTAAATTTACGTGCGGCTGGTTTGACCACGGAGATCGGACTCACGGCTGCATTGAGCGCAGTTTCACGTTGCACCATAACGAGCCGCTTGAAGCCTTCGTTTCCCGCTACCGAGTGTTCCCGCCGTGTTTACGGCCCGCGGAGAATCGGCCGCTAATGTTAGTTCCTCCCCGGACGGCTGGTTGTCGGAAGCTACCGTTAACGTTAACGCAGTGTGATACCTTGTAAAGTGGTTTCTGGGCTCCGCTCGGCAGATCTTGTAAACCACTTTGGTTTTATCCCGCTCTTTGTTGCTTTAAACCCGAAATGGTTCCAGACGTCAGACTTTAGTTGGGACGGCGTGCTGAGCGCGGTTTTACCTGCTTCGGTCATTTTGTATGTGCGCTTGAACGTCAACCTGACGTAAACGCGCTGCTGCGTCATCACGCACGAGTCTACTGGGGTTCATGGAGGGAAAAAAAAAATCGATCTCATGCCCTATGAATCGATATTGCAAAATCTAAATGAAATCGATCCAAAATCGATTAAATCGATTTTTTTTACCCAGCCCTAGTTACTAGTTTCTGATATTTCTAATATTACAGTCCTGAACAACACCGGTGGATTATCCATTGCCAACCCCGCGATCACGAGTGCTATATTGCTTAAACATATTAAGAATACTTTCTTTTTTCTGTTTTGTTTTTGTAGGTGAAGACTAAAACCTTTGGCGAGGCAGGCACCTGAGGATCTTTATCTTCTGCTTAATGTTAGTTATTTATTTCAACAATCTCCTTATTCTTGACTTCTTATCCTCCTTATTGATGTTATGTGGTTGTTGGGCCCGAGCAGCGTCTGCTGAAGGAATTATTATTTCACACAGAGAATCATATTTCTGGCAGCAGTAGCATGCTCTGAATCTCACAAACGTGCAACAAAATTTAACAGTTGGAAAAATGTTTGGATGATTCGGGTCCGGGCCACGGCCATAAACTGCAGCCTCTGAGCCAAGTTTCACCAATGTGTGTGTGTGTGTGTGTGTGTGTGTGTGCCTCAAATATCTCTGCAGATCAGGATCAGACTGACCTGAGAGTTTCAACATGGCTGCTGTGTGGTTTAAGGGTGTGCAACGTCAGCTTTGTTTGGACTATAAAGATACCGTTAATAACTTATTTCATAAATGATTTCCGAATTCCGCTAGCATTGTCAACCATAGCCACCGTAGCCATGTGCGCACCAGAGCCAATCACTGCAGAGCCCGTGTTTAAGGTGTTTCCCAGTTGTCTCCCCCTGTCAATCTAAACCCGCGGAAACTTTATAATCATGTGGATGCTGTTATAATGTGTAGTGATTGAGATCCTGACCCACCAAACATCCTGGAAAGTGACGAAGTTAATAATCACCTGCAGTAAACGGACTCCCTCACTCGCAAGACAGAGAATTTTAAAACTCTGTGAGTTTTTCGCCAGTAACAGAAGCTGTTTTTCCATGAAAAAGCTACTTAACCTGACAATTTTCTATAGCAATACATACTTCCTACGGGCGCTGCACTAGTCCCACAAACCCAACAGGACGTCGGACATTTTGGATATAGCTGCCATTTTTGGCTACTCTAAAGACAATCATGATCAAAAGTTCAAATTAAATTTGAGTTTTCATGTTTGATTTAATTCATAGTAAACCTTTTATTAAATACTGTCTTTATACCTGTTAAACCAATTGTATTGTATTTTATTGTCATTTTTGTCATTGTATTGTATTTAGTTTTCATTCCTTTCTGTTTTATTATCATCTTGTCAATCATCTGTGAAGCAGTTTGAACTGAGCTCAAATGTTTGAAAGGTGCTATACAAAAAAAGTTTGATTGATCAATAGGTGCCATTAAATAAAACGCACTGGCCCTTTAACTGGAATTCCTGAACCACCAGGATAGCAGCATGTGACAATAAACACACAATCAAACCACAATCACTTTACATGTTTTACTGTGGTGAGCAGGTTGTAGTACCGTCTCTGTCCAGCAGAGGTCGGTGTAACACCAATAATCTTCAGTCTGCTTCAACATCTGAGTTTGTTTCCTTCTATTCCTTTTTGTTTCCTCGTAGGCCTCTTTCTTTCCGTCTCTACCCTGAACACTAACCCTGACAACCACTCCTATATTGTCACAATCAGCCAAACAGTTTCTGAAATATTGTCAATTTAGTTAATTAATTAATGTAATGTATTTATTTAACTAATGGAAACTGCCCAACATATTCAAGTTAGGATTCAGCAGTTTCCAAATGCTGGGGACCCTGATCGTACATTTGTAACATAAAACTGGGGTACTCAACATTTATAGGTTCTCATTATTCCCAAGTGAACTAAAACTGCCACCGTTTCCCAACATTACCCACGTATTTAATGTAACATACTTCAGTGAACTGCAGCTGGTCTACTCTCCGCTCAAATATTTGATTTTGGGAGTTGGCCTGTTGTAGGTATGAAGACTAGTTGACAACGATGTTGGAATGAAAAAAAACCAGCTGAGCAGCTTTCATACAAACGGCTGCTTCACTTGAAACAGTTTAAAGTGAAACTAAAGTTTTCTCCTCACAGTGTCGGCAGATTATCAGGAGGAGGAAAGTGACAACTGGCTGTGAACTGAATGTGTTTTTCAAGTGTTCGTTTAGTGAGAAGCAGATTAATGAGGACTTTGTGGTTGTTGTAGTTTTTACAGGAAGATGAAGATGTTTGTGGTGTTTGTGATCCTCGTGCACGGTAAGATAACCTTCCTCCCTCTGATCTGATCATTAGTCCAACATCATGTCTTTAATCTGTATTTCTTTCATCTTCACTTCTTTAGTCTGTTTAAACTCCAATAAAAACATGAAGAACATATTAAAGGCAGCATATTTTCAATGTTTGTGTAAATCATGATGAATGTAGAAGACTGTACAGTCAGACTGTCTTCAGTTCTGTTCTTCAGGATTATATCCCTGGAGGTTGCTCACATTCTTATAGCTTATATTACCAATAGTATTAATGATCCTAATCCTATTGCTCCTGTTTGTGAGTCCGATCACAAACAGGAGCAGATTGAGGATCCAGGAGAAATAAGAGCTGAAATAAGGCTGCTGTGATTGAACCTCTCTGTCTGTGTGACCTCACAGTTTCCCAGCATGCCTCAGCTGTGGAGCTGTATGAGGGGGGAGGAGTTTGTCCTGCTGCCCTGTGCGTATCAAACGTCTGAACTGGACAACCCCACAGTGGTGTGGAGCCGCTACGATCTCAATCCTCCAACCGTCCACCAGCGTCAGCAGGAAGGTGATGAACTTAAAGACCAAAACCAGCTTTACAGCGGCCGAACATCCATGATGTCTGACGCTCTGGAAACTGGAGACCTCAGCCTCAGTCTGACAAAACTCCGCCTCTCTGACAGCGGCAGCTACACCTGCACCGTCAGAGCATTAGGAGGACAACGGAGAGTGAGAGACATACAGCTGCAGGTCAAAGGTCAGCAACAAACCCTAAAACAGACAGGTCAGAGGTCAGTACTGTATATTCAAGACAGAGGTCAGAAGTCATGTTATTTATGTTTCTGTTTCCCACAGAACGGTTTCCATCCTGGGCCACAGCTCTCCTGGTTCTCCTGGTTCTCGGTCTTATTGTTGGGGGTCTTTTTGTGTATTTTCGGCAATATTTCATGTCAGGTATGTCACTACTGCATTACCCATAATCCTGATGGTTACCATCTTTACTCTCGTATCTTTGTGACTGTTGAGCAAGTTTTCATAGAAGTACAGGACGTTGAGGGCAACTATAAACCAAAGGTCACACTGCCTACTTGAACAGTGTGTGGTGGAATCTCGCTCATATGTTAACAGAGCTTTTATTGTATTTGTATTTATCAAAGGCAAATTCAGTATAGAAAAACAGGGCTGTGTAAACACCACGCGCTGGTCACACTCAGGTAGGCAATGTGAACCAAGGGTAAGAGAAGGATGGTGCAGTGAAGTCTTGTTACAATCAGAGTAACTGCTGCTGTCTGTACAGCTTAAATTATGGTTGGTTGTTAGAGTTGTTCTGGGTCAAAGGTCAGTGTTGAAGATACACGTCAGAGATCTGTACTAGAGATACAGGTTAGAGATCAGTGCTGTAGATACACGTCAGATGTCAGTAGACACAGGTCAGAGGTTCTGTCTATTTGATTTATATAGTAATAACAATACTGATATTAATATTAAAGGAGCATTTCACCCGTGGAAACATTAATATTTATTGAAAGTGGGTTATATATATGTAGTCGAAATGTAAAATACATTTTGAATTTGGTGCCTATTTGACCGAGAAAAGACAGAAAGTGACTTTAGGGCGCATTTGTATTAAAAACAACAACTCCCACAATGCACAGCTCCGCAAGCCGCTCCCACTAACACTATCAAGGACTACAACAACGTGAATGTAAACCATTTATTTACAAAAATATATCAACAACAACAAAAATAAATATGTTAACAATGACAGTTATGGTTCCTCCTGAGCGTCCTCAACTCCTTGGTGCCCGCAGTACTGGCCATCTGGAGCTGGATATTTCTGTCGGATAGCCTCATAAGCGGGTAAAACGACACGATGGCCTCGACCCAATCTCTCGCCTTGCAGGACCCATTCCAGAAAGGCTGTTAGGCGATATTGTCTACAAGACATTGAGCACACAGTCAGCGATGCATGGTCTTTGTGTTTAGCGTGCCACAAGCTGTTTGTGCAGTAAAGAAGTTAGTTCAGTTGGCTGACGTTACGTATTAACCGGGAATAACTTTGTGATAATGCTTGAACAAATTGTGTACGTACATGCCACGTTGTTATAAGACAGAAAATAGAAACACTCACTTTACAGTCAGACGTCCGTGTGTCTGTGGGCGCACAGCGAGAGCACCGACACCAGCAGTCCGCCCCAGCTCGAGCCAGTCCGGGCTCCTCGTCCGTGACAGGCAGGTCCTCTGCCTCGGCTGCAGAGGCCTCAGCTGCTGCTCGCTATATTGCGGCTCATAAAGGTAGCCACGAACATCTGATTCGACCATCATACTTACATACTACGAAATTTCTTCCATATTACATTGATTACCATAGTCGTAACGTCTGGCTCGACGGCGCCTTAGCTTCCAAACAAGATGCTGATTATATTTTTTAATTTCTGCAGGTGAAGTCCCACCCACTGATCTGTAATAGGTCTGTAGCGTGAGTGAAAAAAAAAGAGGAAGTAGTGTTTGTAGTCTCACCCCCTCTACAGAGATATGAGACTTCCTGCTTCCAATGACGCAAAATGACGATTTTTACATCATTGGAAGCAGGAAGTGCAACACTAAAATCCTTATTTCTCCCCTCTCAGGGAAAGTGAGGGAATGATGCATGACCATTCAAAAATATGACTGGGGTTCTAATGATACAAAGCTTAATGCAAATGGGTGAAGTGTCCCTTTAACTTCACATTATAAGTTTCTTAAGTTGTCTCTGGTATGAAGAGATTTTAAAAAGTAAATGTACAAAAATGGAACCCAGTCAAAATCAATCCCTGTTTGCAACTGTCCTGACCGGCTGACAAACCCCCTTATACCATAGTCTGCGTGAATACTGGATTCTGATTGGCTGCAGGGCATCCGTTAATTCCTGATGTAGACACCTACAAAGTAGTCCCAGTGAACTGTCTGTTTACCGTTCTAAATAAATTAAATAACCTGACTGAAAACATGACAGAATATCAGATTATCTGACTGACTTAGAAATAGATTTTCTCCAGTGCAGCTGATGTTGTGGTTTGTTGTCCTCTCAGTCTACAAGGTGGAGGTGGATTCAGAGGTGGAGTCTGTCCTGCTGCCCTGCAAAACCACAGTTCACCTGCCTGAGGACGTCACAGTGGAGTGGAAGAACGGAAACAACTGGAAGGTCCATGTGTATCAGAACGGTTCTGATCGGCCTAAAGAACAGAACCAGTATTACAGAGGCCGAACAGAGATAAAGAGAAACCTGCTGGAACCTGGAGACCTCAGTCTGACCCTGAAATACCCCACAAACAGAGACAGTAACACCTTCACCTGCACCGTCTACAACAGGGAGAGAAAGATCCTGATGAAGAAACAAGTGCTGCTTGAGGTACAGGTCAAAGGTCAGTGCTTTGAATACGGTATCATTACTATACTACATAAATATAACATGTCCTCTCGTTGGTGGAAATGTTCATATTGAATTGGAGACAATGACATGCTAGCATTGCTAGCATTGCTAGCATAACGTTAGATTTCTGTTGTATTTGTTGTTGTTTCTGAACCAAAGGATTCTACCATGTCAGAAATCTTGGTGTAGTTCTGGACCTAAAAACCCAAACCAACATCAACAGAATCACAAGATCCTCCTAATACCACCTTAAAAACCCAGACTGAAAGGATTCAGAGCGCTGCTGCCAGAGTCTAAGTGGAACACATGAGTCCAGGTCTTAGAGCTCTGCACTGGCTTCCTACACATCAAAGAATTTATTTCAAAATACTGTTATTGACTTCCAAACACTGAATGGTTCGGGGCCAGTCTGTGATATGCTTCTCTGTTATGGACCATCCAGAGCTGTTGGTTCATGTGGGTCAGGTTTGCTCACAGTACCCAGGGTCAGAAGCAGCTGTCAGTTTCTATGCAGCACAGATCTGGAATAAACTTCCAGAAGTGTTGAGGTCTGCCTCACCCTGTGTTTTTTTAATCCAGACTTAAAACATTTCTGTTGGCCACTGACTGACCACAGCTAGATTTATTGAAATAATCTGAATATCTAGGCTCAAGTAAAGTGAGAAATCTCTAGAAATAAGTGGTCAGACAACCATTCCAAGAACTGTATGAAGTCCAATAAAAGGAGATTAATGAATCAAAACCAGATCAGTGTTAGTTTTGTTTCTAGATAATAATCTACCAAGCTCAGGTTTTGGTTTGGGAGTTCTGTGTGCTGAGCACTAAAACAGTTTATCAGCTGACATGTGGTGAGGTGGCTCTGCCATCACAATATCCATCAGTGGCTCCATCACTTTTGTCCAGACTGAGATATCTCTATCAACTACTGAATGCACTGACACATTTTCACTGGATTGAAATAGATTTTCTACAGTGCGGCTGATGTTGTGGTTTGTTGTCCTCTCAGTCTACAAGGTGGAGGTGGATTCAGGGGTGGAGTCTGTCCTGCTGCCCTGCAAAACCACAGTTCACCTGCCTGAGGACGTCACAGTGGAGTGGAAGAACAGAAACAACTGGAAGGTCCATGTGTATCAGAACGGCTCTGATCAGTCTGAAGAACAGAACCAGTATTACAGAGACCGAACAGAGATAAAGAGAAACCTGCAGGAACCTGGAGACCTCAGTCTGACCCTGAAATACCCCACAAACAGTGACGGAGGAACCTACACCTGCACTGTCTACAACAGGGAGAGAAAGATCCTGATGAAGAAACAAGTGCTGCTTGAGGTCAAAGGTCAGTGCTGTAGATACAGGTCAAAGGTCACTGCTTTGAATATTGTATCATTATTGTGATAAAAAGTCTAGTCATTGTGATCTATATGAAATGTTTCCATCAGAAGCTCATTAGAAGGTAAATGTCATTTTAAAGTGAATCTGATAGAATGTGAACATCATTTGTTAACAAGTGACTGATGGAACATCTGACAGATATTGTTTCTTCTCTGTCACATATTTGGATCAATAACAGTCACAGAATCTCTTTGAGCTGAATACCTTCATGAATGTTCAGCTCATATTTGGAGCTGACACACAAACATCTTTAAGAGGCTCATATGGAGAATTGAACTCGTTCTGTTTCCATTTCAATGGTTGTGATATTTGGAGACTAAAGATCTGGATCAGATCCAGATCAGCTGGAATAACAAAGATTAGTCTGAGACATGAAGGACTTCGATTGGCTCATATCTGATTATGAAACCAACAAAAAGTCAACCATCAATGTTTACTGATCATCCAATGATATCTTTAATAATACACTGAGGGAAGGAAATAACATTAAAGCTAACTGTCCACTGTGTGAAGAGGGCGACCTGCCGTTTGTTTGCTGGTCAAAGCGTCATCAGGGGTATCAGGTTACGGGAACAGGAAGTGACCTGATGAGAGGTCACAGGAAGTGACCGTCATGATAAAAGTTGAGGTTAAATCCTCCAAAATGGTCCCAGTGGTCTCAACACTAGAAATAATGTGAGTGAATGTGTTGCTACAGAAACAATGAGACATTTTTTTGATCAGTGCTGTTGAACCTGTGTTTGAAATGCTGTGTGGAACTAAGATTCATTCCCTGTTACATTTGAGCAACAGACAGCAGTTCAACACTGAGATAAGACATTACTGTGAAGCAGCACATGGACAGAAAATCACAACATGTCCAAGAGCTTGAAAACCTGCTTTTAGTTCCTATATTTCTGTCCCCTGTTACCTGCTGCTCTCATCTGGTTCTGTCCTTCAGGGTTCTCTACAACTTTGTAATCAGTCAATAAAGTTATTACAAACTGCTGCTGCTGTCTGTACAGCTGATGTTTGGGTTTGTTGTTCTCTTAGACTGTCAGGTGGAGGTGAAAGAAGAATTTATTTCAAAATACTTTTATTGAACACTGAATGGTTCTGAGCCAGTCTGTGATATGCTGCTCTGTTATGGACCATCCAGAGCTGTTGGTTCATGTGGGTCAGGTTTGCTCACAGTACCCAGGGTCAGAAGCAGCTGTCAGTTTCTATGCAGCACAGATCTGGAATAAACTTCCAGAAGTGTAGAGGTCTGCCTCACCCTGTGTTTTTTAAATCCAGACTTAAAACATTTCTGTTGGCCACTGACTGACCACAGCTAGATTTATTGAAATAATCTGAATATCTAGGCTCAAGTAAAGTGAGAAATCTCTAGAAATAAGTGGTCAGACAATCATTCCAAGAACTGTATAAAGTCCAATAAAAGGGGATTAATGTATCAAAACCAGATCAGTGTTAGTTTTGTTTCTAGATAATAATCTACCAAGCTCAGGTTTTGGTTTGGGAGTTCTGTGTGCTGAGCACTAAAACAGTTTATCAGCTGACATGTGGTGAGGTGGCTCTGCCATCACAATATCCATCAGTGGCTCCATCACTTTGGTCCAGACTGAGAAATCTCTATCAACTACTGAATGCACTGACACGTTTTCACTGGATTGAAATAGATTTTCTACAGTGCAGCTGATGTTGTGGTTTGTTGTTCTCTCAGTCTACAAGGTGGAGGTGGATTCAGGGGTGGAGTCTGTCCTGCTGCCCTGCAAAACCACAGTTCACCTGCCTGAGGACGTCACAGTGGAGTGGAAGAACAGAAACAACTGGAAGGTCCATGTGTATCAGACTGGCTCTGATCAGCCTGAAGAACAGAACCAGTATTACAGAGACCGAACAGAGATGAAGAGAAACCTGCAGGAACCTGGAGACCTCAGTCTGACCCTGAAATATCCCACAAACAGTGACAGAGGAACCTACACCTGCACTGTCTACAACAGGGAGAGAAAGATCCTGATGAAGAAACAAGCGCTGCTCTGGATCAAAGGTCAGTGCTGTAGATACAGGTCAAAGCTTCTGTTTCCATTTCAATGGTTGTGATATTTGGAGACTAAAGATCTGGATCAGATCCAGATCAGCTGGAATAACAAAGATTAGTCTGAGACATGAAGGACTGCGATTGGCTCATATCTGATTATGAAACCAACAAAAAGTCAACCATCAATGTTTACTGATCATCCAATCATATCTTTAATAATACACTGAGGGAATGAAATAACATTAAAGCTAACTGTCCACTGTGTGAAGAGGGCGACCTGCCGTTTGTTTGCTGGTCAAAGCGTCATCAGGGGTATCAGGTTACGGTAACAGGAAGTGACCTGATGAGAGGTCACAGGAAGTGGCAGTTATGATAAAAGTTGAGGTTAAATAAAATGGTCCCAGTGGTCCCAACAGTAGAAATAATGTGAGTGAATGTGTTGCTACAGAAACAATGAGACATTTGTTTGATCAGTGATGTTGAACCTGTGTTTGAAATGCTGTGTGGAACTAAGATTCATTCACTGTTACATTTGAGCGACAGACAGCAGTTCAACACTGAGATGAGACATTACTGTGAAGCAGCACATGGACAGAAAATCACAACATGTCCAACAGCTTGAAAACCTGCTTTTAGTTCCTATATTTCTGTCCCCTGTTACCTGCTGCTCTCATCTGGTTCTGTCCTTCAGGGTTCTCTACAACTTTGTAATCAGTCAATAAAGTTATTAGAAACTGCTGCTGCTGTCTGTACAGCTGATGTTGGGGTTTGTTGTTCTCTCAGACTGTCAGGTGGAGGTGGAGGAGGGGGCGAAGTCTGTCCAACTGCCCTTCAAGACCACAGCTAACCTGCCTGAGATGGCTAAAGTGGAGTGGTGCCGCTATCAACCTGATTACATGACAGTCCATGTGTATAAGAACGGTTCTGACCGGCCTGAAAAACAGAACCAGAATTACAGAGACCGAACTGAGATGAAGGAAGACCTGCTGAAAACTGGAGACCTCAGTCTGATCCTGAAATCCCCCAAAGAGAGAGACACAGGAAGATACCGCTGCAACGTCAACAATAAGAAGGAAGACACCAGATGCATCCAGAGAGGGAAATCAGTGCAGCTCACAGTCAGAGGTCAGTACTGTAGATACAGGTCAGAGGTTAGTGCTGTAGATTCAGGTCAGAGGTCAGAGGTCTCTGTGTCTGTCTGTGTCTGACTGTCCTCTGTCTCCTCTGCAGGGAGAACCAGGAACAGAAGCAGCTCCATTGATCCAACTCCTCTGATGGCTGATCAGTCTGTTTGATTTGTCTGTTGATCAATCTTTGATTATTGATCTTGTTGATTTGATTATTTGATTTATCTGATCTGACTGATTAATTTACTTTGATTGATTGATTGATTACTTTGCTTTTCTGCCCATAATCTCATGATGTTTATTATTTTTTAGTTGTCTTTGATTTTGGTGTTTACAAGTTCTATATGTATATATCCTCTTACTGTTAATAATCAGTATTGAGTATTGAATGAGTTCTACACAGAAATATCCTAAATGTTAATATATAGACCTACTGTGTATATTTTTAACTACTTACAATCAAGAAGTTCAGTAAACTCAATTAAATGCAGTCAGACCAACATGAAGCCATTTAACCATGTGGAAATACTTTCTCTGATTGAATGAAGTTATCGTTTGAGTGTCAGTCAGCTGAACTGTTCTCATGTGTTTGAATCCATAAAGTGTTGTGTTATGGATTTGATCATTTCACACTCTGTTTAGAGAATCATGAATGTTGAGAACAACTGTAAATAAAGCTCAAATGTACAGCGCCCCCATGTGGCAGAGCGGGAGCAGATTTCTCTTATTTTATCTACGTGTGATGATGGAGGCCATGTGTCTCAGATTGATGATTTCATTTAATAACATAATGAGTGTAAACTGTGTCTGTAGTGACAGCGTCCATAAAGCGTTATCAGCAGTGAAATATCTGCAGCTTCCACAATCTAATATTGATTCTCACTAATTACAGTTGCTCAATCTCATCAACTGTTAGTACATAATAGCCTTGCTATTGCTAGTGTTCTCATCAGTGATAAAGCGTCTGTCTGTCTGTCTGTCTGTCTGTCTGTCTGTCTGTCTCCAGGATCGTCTCTGTCCAGCAGAGGTCAGTGTAACACCATTACAGTCTTTCTGATCTGATCACACAAATCTTTAACTGTTGTAAATGTCCCTTGAACAAAGACAGTGAATGTACAAACACATTTTCTGCTTTAAACCCTGTTTCTGACATTAACATATACCTATTATACATATATGTACATATATACATATTCAGATCATATTCAGATCTACACTAACTGAACACCAATCAGTCTGGGCCCTAGCGTACAACAGACCTGAGGTAAACTCACCTCTTCTGTGAGAACATTGCAAACATGGAGGCAGTGAGAGCGAGAGGACAGAGGATGGATGAAGACAGAACACATTACATTACAATAATGATCAGCACCCTCTCCATCACACAGTGGTCAGACAGCGGAGCACCTTCTCTCACAGGCTGCTCCAGCTCCGCTGCCGAAGGGACAGATACAGGAAATCTTTCCTGCCACATGCCATCACACTGTACAATAACAGCTAAAACTCTGGTCATAACAATACAGTCTCCAAGAACCTTATATGTTTTATCTGTTCACTGTACCTTATATTTTTACTTTGCACTACAATTATACCACTTATTTATACATTCTATACATTTTTTATATTGCATTTTATATAGCTTTTTTTGATATGTCTATGTTGTTCTCTTTACTTATTGTGTTGTTACTGTGTGTAATGCCGCTGCTACACTGCAATTTCCCAGCTTGGGATCAATAAAGTATATCTATCTATCTATCTATCTATCTATCTATCTATCTATCTATCCATTCAATATTAATTCAATAACTGCTTCTAAGACCCTCCCCCCCCAACACACACTCAGCTTTCAGACTCTGAATGTTAAAAGTTATAGAACTGTAATAAAAGTCATTATCTGTGAAATTACAGTAATTATTGCTGTTTACACTGATAACTGTATTTGGATAGTTTACCAATGCTTATACACTGATAAACAACATTTATTCAACTTCCATCATTATACAACATATCTGTCAGTTAACTAACTAATACATTAAAATTAATACTTTTTAATGTTAAGTTTTTACATTATTTTTATAAATTAATTATTAACAGTATTACACTTATAATAAATTAAATTAACAGTAAAAATTACAGATTTGCAAAACGTATTCAAATCTAATTATCTTTAATTATTATTTACAGTTACCGATTTTATTATTTTATTATTATTATTTATTTATTTTACATGAAACATCCACAGGATATTTAGTGAGTTTACAGGGCGTTTGTGTTTGTCTTTAAATACATGGATCTATAATAATATTAATAGAATAACAGATTGTTTTACAGTGTAAATAAAGAGTTGATAACATGAACGATACACTGTAAACCCGGATAAGTTGATGGTACTTAAACCATTTGTGTCAAGTGATTGCCTCAAATGGTTTAAGTTTTTGACAGTAGAGAAAATTAATTTGTTTAAGTATAGTCAACTTAAATGTACAATAGTCAGAATTTAACATTTAATTTACATACACTTAAATGGTTTACGTTATCACAATAGAAAAGTATAGTGGAGTCTACTTAAAAGTACAATAGTCAAAACTTAATATTATAAGTCAAATACACTTAAAATTCTAGTTTTATTAAAAATATGAATATATTACTTTTTTAAATATATTTGGAATAAGAAAATTCCAATTAAATTATTATTTTGTCATTGACCACACAATGCAGTACATTTTATTTATTTCATTTAGACACACAACAAAGCAACAAATATGTATTAACAATGATGTGTGAAATACCAGATGCAAATCCAAAATAACAGTAAGAACTTGTTTTCATAAAATTATCAAAATGGGTCTTTGCCAACAATTACAACAGTATATTCTTACCTTTTGCTGCAGATATTCCCTTACAGTACCTTGCTATGATGCAGCTTGGTTGAGGCCATATGCATAAGGCTGTGCACTTTACACAAGAAAGCCACCAAGAAGGCTGCATTGTCCACCCCCAGATGGACTAAAATTCTCAGCGACTATCACCACATCCGGGACTTAGTGCTCAACAGTCCAAGGGTTATGGTGGAGACAATGATCCAGCTCTTTGAGCTTAATCAGCGGACACTCATTCAATGGTAGGTCAGGCTCATCATTTACCTCAAATTGACTGAATAGTTCTCTAATGAATAAATATCTAACACAAATTATCTTCTCTCAGGTTTCAACGGAGGCTGAAGAGCCAGGAGAGGGGTATCCTTTCTCAGGGAATGGCTCCAACCAACCCGATTCCTGTGGCACCTGACCAGCTTCCACCACCGAAGGAACGACTGCAGCTCCTTCCTTCAGCATCAGGCCCACGGCATGAATTTGTCCTCCCTCCAAATCTGGAAGGGCAGGCTCCTGTTTTGCGGCCAGGCTGACGGCCAGCTGCTGCCACCAGGGAGTGCCCCATAGCACCTGCCCCCACCGCACCAGACATTGCACAGCCCATTGCAGCTCCTGGGATGTTGCCTAGGGTAGAGATTTGCATCCTCAACCCAGACAACACTGTGTCATGCGTACTGCCAGCTTCTGGTGCCTCAGCATCCAGTGCAGGCCCAGCTCCACTTGTTCCTGCACCTGCTACTTCTGTGTCCCGGTACACGCACAGGAACAGGCGCCAGCGGGCCCTTGAGGAGGAGAGTGGAGTCCACAAGAGGAAATATGCGAGAGGGGTCACCTACAATACCTGTAGCCAGTGTGGGCAGCCCAAAACAAAGGAGTTTGGGCATAGTCGTCATGGCAGTGCCACCTTCTGCTCACGTGCCTCAAATGGCAAATCTCTTGAAGAGTGGTTGGCAGAACAGAGAGCAGAAAAATAAGTTTTTAACTATGTTTTGCTTGTATGTATTGTATATATTGTATATTGTGTGTTTGCGTGTATAGTTCCCTGTGTTTATATAGTTTTTCTGAGGTGTGTGTGTGTTTTCATTTCAATTCTCATTTATTTTACATCTTGTGTTCAGATACATTAAATCTGATTATACCAACATTTAAAGACTCAGCCTGTGCATCATCAAAAAAGCTCCATATTGTCCCACAGTCTTTGAAGGCACATTTTATTATTATTATGGTCATTATATTAACAGAAACAGAAATAAACATCACAAGTCATTTTATATATATATATATATATATATATATATTTATATTTTTTTTATAACATTTAGGACCATCTATAGATTAGAGCAGCTCATTAACAGACTGTGTACAACAGTTTGTCTTTCTGAGTGTCACAGAGAAACTCAAACAGGCTGGATTACTGATCAACGCTCCTTTCTGGTCTAAATCTGCTGCCGTTGATTCAGAACTCTGCAGCGCGAGTGCTGACCAGGACCAGAATAAGAGAACACATTACACCTGTTATAAAGCCTAACATTGGTTTCCTGTCAGGTTTTACAATCATATTGAAATTCTTTTACTTGTTTTGTTTACTTCATGGTCTTGAACCGGTACATCCCCTCAGATCCTCTGGGACCAGACTGTGCCAGACTAAAACCTTTGGCGAGGCAGGCACCTGAGGATCTTTATCTTCTGCTTAATGTTAGTTATTTATTTCAACAATCTCCTTATTCTTGACTTGTTTATCCTCCTTATTGATGTTATGTGGTTGTTGGGCCCGAGCAGCGTCTGCTGAAGGAATTATTATTTCACACAGAGAATCATATTTCTGGCATCAGTAGCATGCTTGGAAAAATGTTTGGATGATTCGGGTCCGGGCCACGGCCATAAACTGCAGCCTCTGGGCCAAGTTTCACCAATGTGTGTCTGTGTGTGTGTGTGTGTGTGTGTGTGTGTGTGTGTGTGTGTGTGTGCCTCAAATATCTCTGCAGATCAGGATCAGACTGACCTGAGAGTTTCAACATGGCTGCTCTGTGGTTTAAGGGTGTGCAACGTCGGCTTTGTTTGGACTATAAAGATACCGTTAATAACTTATTTCATAAATGATTTCCGAATTCCGCTAGCATTGTCA